TCTCAAGTGTGTATACACACACACATACACACACGTACATATATATATACATATATATACACAAATATACATATATATGTGTGTGTGTGTGTGTGTGTGTGTGTGTGTGTGTATATATTTAAAACCCAAGAAAATGATAAAGGACAGTGGTTTTATATGAAAGGGAGGAAAAAAGATGGGCTAGGAAAGGAGCACATAGGGAGATGTAGGTGCTTTGGGTTAGATGGTGGGGTCATGGGTGTTTATTATATTATGAATAAATATATAAATAAATAAGGACCATGCATGGGCTAATGATGACAGTGTGTCATGAGCCAAAGAGTATAATTAATCCAATTCTCAGCATTCAATACATTAAATGAAAGAAAGAAAGAAAGAGAGAGAGAGAGAAAGGGAAGGGCAGGGAAGGGAAGGGAGGGAAGGGAAGGGAGGGAAGGGAAGGGAGGGAAGGGAAGGGAGGGAAGGGAAGGGAGGGAAGGGAAGGGAGGGAAGGGAAGGGAGGGAAGGGAAGGGAGGGAAGGGAAGGGAGGGAAGGGAAGGGAGGGAAGGGAAGGGAGGGAAGGGAAGGGAGGGAAGGGAAGGGAGGGAAGGGAAGGGAGGGAAGGGAAGGGAGGGAAGGGAAGGGAGGGAAGGGAAGGGAGGGAAGGGAAGGGAGGGAAGGGAAGGGAGGGAAGGGAAGGGAGGGAAGGGAAGGGAAGGGAAGGAAAGAGAAAGGGAGGGTGGGAGTAGAGCCAACCTTTCTTTCTTCCAACCTTTGGAATTTCTTTTCTTCTGCTCTGCCTTCAATCATTTATTCCATAAACATTTATTAGATGTCTACTGTGTACCTGTCCCTAGGCTGGATGCTGTGCCAAGAGCACTGGGATGAAATCAGACCTAGTCCTGCCCTAACAGAGTCACTATCTGCTATTGGAATCTGACAATTCCCAGAGGCTTTGCCAAGGGCTCCGACAGAGGTAAGGAGACAAAGTGCTGTAGAGCTCAGAGAGAGGCCCCTAACCTGCCCAGGGCTACTGGGGGAAGACTGTAGAGCTTGGTACTTTGAGAAATTAGTAAGATGAAAATGTAGGTGGGAGTACAAAGGCGATAGAAGTGAAAAGGCTCTGCCCTAGAAATGCTCACATCTCAGAGGCAGGGGGATGGCAGTGAGAGAGGCAACAGCAACAGTGGGACTTGGGCCCCTGAGAGAAGGAAGCACACAGGTTCGAGGGCATACGAAGGAGGGCATCACACTGGTCCTAGAGTGTCACTGAGTCTTCCTGGGGCAGGTCACATGCATACAGGCAGAGAGCTGAAGGGTGAATCAGTTACTCGGGGAGTTTGTACCAGGGAGAAAGGTCAGTGTGTGCAAAGGCCTGTGTCAGGAAAAAAGAGCTTAGTTCACTGGGGTTGCTTGGAGCGTCTCAGTGTGGCTTGACCCAGGGCACAGGTACGGGGAGTGAGACTAGTGCCCAGGAGCCAGATTCAGTTAAGAAATGGGAAAACCATCCTGTGGACCACGGGTTACCTCTGAGGGGAGTGGCAGGGACGACTTTTACTTTATGAAGACAACTCTGACAGAACAGAGGTGAGGAGCCCGCTGTAACCGCTGAACAAAGGGATGGCGGTGCCTGAGCCTTAGAAGAAGCAAGATCAGCGAGATGAACACTTTATGAGCAACACCACACTGTGGGCTGGGCTCCAATGGAAAGAGGGAGGGAGGCCAGAGACAGGCAGACCTCACTCACGCACCACCGCGCACATCCTTGGAGCAAGCTGCAAGCTCCAGAATTTCTCAGAACTGAGGATTTTCCTTGACTTCTGTTAAACGTGGTTGATAATTTTACAAGACAGAGGAGATCAAGGTTGCAATATCTAAAACCTGGTAAGTAGACTTTAAACCAAGCCCTATTGAGAGAAAAGGCAAGCAGCAGTGGGGTTTACATCTTTGTATTATTATAAATAGCAGTTCTGTACTCCTGACTGCATGGGCCTCTAATGGATCTTCTGCTCCAGACATGACTTCTCCTCAGCTCAAGAATTCCAAGAGTGCTGCAGGTCTTGGCATATTTTTGAGAACTACAAGGAAAACATTTATTGAGTACCTACTGTGTAACTCGCTACAAGAGATAACATTTATTGAGTACCTACTGTGTAACTCACTACAAGGGAGGTAACTCACTACAGGAAATTCTTCTATTCCCATGTTACAATGAGAAAGCTAAGACCCAAAGAGTCTGACTTAAAATTAAGCCCAAGGCTGCCTGGCTATGCTTATGAAATATTGTGCTTTCTTTTGAGTGAGCCTGGATAGTTCTTCGATGGTTTATTTTTTGAAACATCCTCGGACAGTTAAGAACATGTTGTATTAGTTATCTAGTGCTGCACAACAAATTATCCCAAAGTTTAGCAGCTTATGACAACAAACATCTACTCTCTTACAGTTTCTGTGTCAGCCTGGTTGAGTATCTGTGATTCAAGGTCTCTCATGAAATCACAGTCAAGATGTCAGATAGGGTTGCAGTCTCATATGAAGGCTTGGCTGTGGGGCGGGGATCCACTTCTAAGTTCACTCACATGGTTGTTGGCAGGCCTCAGTCCCCCACCACATGGACCACTCCACAAGGCTGTCTCAGGACCTGGCAGCTGGCTTCTCTCCATTGAGGTGATTCCAAAAGAGAGTAAGGGAGAGAGAGAGAAAAAAAAAAGGAGAGAGAGGGAGGGAGAGGAAAGGAGAGAGAGGGAGAGGGAGAAAGAGAGAGAGAGAGAGAGAGAGAGAGAGAGAGAGAGAGAGAGAGAGAGAGAGAATATGCTTAAAACAGAAGTCACAGTTTTTTAATAACCTAATCTTAGAGGCTGCTCGTCTCAATCTGAAGTTTTTTCATAACCAGAATATCCTGGCTTCTTCCAAAATGACAAGTTGTTCCCCTGATATCTATGGGCTGGAGTACTTTGGGGCCTCTAGGGACAACTGAGGTGCTGTTGTGGCCACTCCTTTGTGCCTGAGGCATAGTCTCATTTGGAGGGGCCATGTGGTGAACCTATCTGGAGCCCCCAAGGGAAGGAGGAGGTAGTTTCTCAAATTTTGGCCATTTCTCCCTTCCCACTTTTTCTTTGAAGCTGCTATGATGTTTCCCAGTGGAGGGGAAGCCACGGGCATCCCCTCATGTACCCCTTCAGCCAGATAGTTTGGGTCCAGGTGGAGAAACTATGAGCTTGAAAGCCTTTAAACTCACTTTTGCTTCTGATCTTCTTTCCTCAAATGTTCTTTTCTTGTTCCCCAACTATGTCCATCGCCCCCACAGTAGCTTGCTAAGTAGATAGATGCTCCAGGAGCTTCCTGATAAGGGTGAGGAAGGACTGCTGTGGAGGTCCCTGGAAATACAGTAAGTGTGAAGGGAGGTCAGAACTGCCACTCAGGTCAGTTCAACCACATTTACTCAGCATCTGTTCTGTGCTGGGCACAGGGGATCCAGGGATGTATAAAACACAGATACTTGCCTCTGGGAAGGAAGGTTCACAGTGTTAGGAGGGAGATAGACAAATCCAATGACAAAACAAACAGTAGAATGAGTGCAACAAATACTTGATCAATACACCCTTTTGCTACCTCATAGTGACTGCCCTGGTTTATGAAGCATCATCTTTTGCTTGGACTATTTCAGTAACTTCCAAGTTCGTTTTCTCCATCCATTCATTCTGCTGCTGAGAGATCTTTCTTAAATGCAAATCTGACAATGTCACTACCCTGGTTAAAGGTTTCCCCAACTGATCTTGGGGAAAGGCCAAACTCTTGAGATGGCCCCCAAGACCCTCGCCACTGTCTGTCCCTCCAGCTTCATTTCACCACCTCTGCTCACACTCCAGTTATACCATAGGCTCTTTGCTGTGGTAGGTACTTCCCTGTCCCTCTGCAGCCAGGAGCTAATTCGTGTAGCCACCTCCACTAAGGAGCATTCCTAGATTGCCCTTACCAGTCTGGGAAAGGAGGGCTGCCGCCTCCATCAAAGTATTTCCCTCACCGGGTTGGATTGTCTTTATTTGTCGGTGTCCCAGATGAAATGGGAATTCTGCAGCTAGGCTTTTTGGTGCTTGGCACAGAGAGGGCTGAGGTCAGACCAAACGACTGTGGAACGGAACTGAAGTCAACTCTGAGAGCACAGATGAGGGGCCCCATACAGGAACTTTCGATTTTCCCAAAGAAGCACATATGCTAGAAGCACCCTCTCCGCCTCCGCTCTGGCCACGCCCTCTCCCTTATCTCTCAGCTCAAGCTCGCTGAGCTGCGGGCCACCGTCAGCGATGGTAGCCCGCTGAGAAGAGACCCAATTTCCTGAGCCTAGGGAGGGCCGGGAAGGCTCCGTGAAACAAGTGCAGTATGAAATTAGACTTTAAGAGATCAGCTGGAGCTTGATCTTTAAAAATAAAAAAGTGCGGACGTGTTTCTGAGGAAGAGGATAGTAAACCATTCTCCTTCCCTGCTATTTCCACATGCTTGGGGTAAAGACTCCAAAGCTGCGATTGACTCTGGGTGTCTCCTCCCACTCAGGGGCACCCACCCTGGTGATCTTGGCGCGCTTGAATGAATGGGGGAGGACCCGCGCGCATGAATGAGTGCTGGAGGGAGGGAGTGCGCGGGCGAGCGGGAGGGTGAATGGCGACCGCGAGGCCGACTCGGCACAGGGGAGCCGGCGCGGGCTCCACTTCCCTCTCCCGCCAGCTGGTGGCCTCTGGAAGGTGGCGGCGCCGGCAGCGGCCGGAGCTGGGACGGGCCGGGGCGCGGGATGGTGGGGGAAGGGGCGTTCCCGGCGGCCGCGCCTTCCGCGGCTATTGGATTAGTGGCCTTCAGGGATGAGCTCAGCCGGATCGGCTTTCAGCTGCAGCCTCCGGGCCGGCCGGGAAGGCGGGGAGCGGGCGGCGGCAGAGGAGGGGGAGGCGGCGGCGCGTGCGGCGTCACGCGCGGCGCCGCGGCG